CATTATAATGTATTAATTGGTGTAGTTTGAATCTTTTGTTGCACACTTGCTTGAATAAACCTGCGGAACTCATAGCATTCTCCTCTCCTGTTTCAAGGATAACAACGATGACCTTATAACCGTTAAGTTACATGTCTGTACTTGTTACCGATAGCTCATTGACCTGGAAGTGTCAAGTGTACCACGGGAGTCTCAACAAGCTGTCAACACAATCATTGTTCGTGATATTTTACACCTGTTAATGACAGTCATGAGTTTGATAGCGTAAACCTATACTGCTTTATCAACGCTACATCTTGTTTTACCGTGTCAATTTAGGCTTTTAATTTCATTGTTATTGTACAGCAACTCGGTTAGCAGTGAATGCAGCTGAACAGATTCAGTAGTCCACTTTGTCATCCCGCTTGTACAGGGTAGACAGTTTTAATATCCACCAATGCACTAGCACATGTAGCTATGGATATTAAATTTTATAATTAAAACTCAATGAAAGCATTCAGTACAGGGTGATGGGGCAGCCTAGTGGTTAAGGCGTTCGCTCGTCACGTCAATCACCCGGGTTCGATTTCCCACATGGACACACGATTTGTGTGAAGCCTAATTGTGTCCCCTGCCGTGATATTGCTGGAAAAGCGGCGTAGAAATAAACTCACTCATTCAGTACAATTTGTTTATTGTTTAACGCCTCACTCAGCAATATTCCAAACCTCAGTACGAGGTTTAGTTTTGACCTTGGCAATACATAGTACGGCAGCCACACAGTGGTGTTAATACAGGTGAAAGCCTGTAGCTCAGGATCACACCACATATTTGCAGGTCAACGTGATACGCAATATTACTGGCTACGGCTTTAAACAGCATTCGGACACTCACCAAATTTGCTACACATCATAATGACCTTCCCTCCCGTACCTGCAGCCTGTGGCGCAGCTCCCGTGTCGGTTATCCTCCGCAGCAACTCCGTCTTCAGTCCTCTTATTTACAGGTCGCCGTGACATACGATATAGGTCATTGCGGTGTGAAACAACATTCAATCACTCACCTAACTTGCGTGGCGATAAACGGAACACGAAAGTTTATACCAACCTTCCCTCCCGTCCCTGTAGCCTGAAGCGCAGCTTTCACACCAAGACCCGCTGCCACGCCCAATTCAGCTATCAGGTTGTGACCACAGGCGTGTCCGATCTCCGGCAGGGCATCATATTCACACAGTATAGCCACGTGAGGACCTGTTCCGTCTTTACCAAACACTGCCCTGAAGGCTGTATTCAGTTTGTAATTCCTCTCAACCTCAAATCCATGCTTCTCAAGAAAATCTGTCAGTACATTGTGAGCATTTACCTCTTTAAAGTTCAGCTCAGGCTTCTCCCAAATGGCCTGACTGACTTTGTTCAAGTCATCTGCATGCTTGTCTATTTCCACGCAAGCTGTATTTTTCATTGGTTTTTCCGTCATTCTGTGTGGAAGGTGCGCTGTATGTGGTGACGATCACGAGACTCCAGACCACGAGGCTGGGCTGACTCATATGATATAGTGTACTCCTATGTAGTTCACATTACAGCTGGGGTTGTATGCAGGCGAGATATGTTTATATACCCATAGCTCTCCTAGGTCATCAGTTCACGCTATGTAAGTTCGACACACGCTCTTGTACGTAACGCACCAGGTTATCCAGAGGTCAATGTTTCCGCTTGACGAGTAGCTGCAGGTAGCTTTGAGCTTAGCATTTTCCTGTTACATCAAATATGCATCTCAGAATGTTAAGATACATTTAAAGGTTTGTGAGAAGCAACATAAAGTAAATCCGTTATACCTGGCTCCGTTTTGTTTGCAGTCCGCAGTATTGCAGCTATGTGACGACGGTCAGTAAATAATCGTATCTGAACCAAGCAATCCTGTGATCAACATCATGAGGATTGAACAACGCATCTGGGATACGATGACACGTGCCAACTAAGCTTGCGAGCCTGTCCACCTTATCCCGTTAGTATACCTCCTAGTTTCTAGCCATTCTCGGTTCGTTATAATTCTTCTACGTGGCTCCTCAACGGAGGTTGAAGTACTGTAAAAATTATTATTCTCCTGAGAGGATACGTAAACAGTCGAAGAAAAATTTAATCTTCCACATTTTTACTTGTAGTATTATTGTCATTTAAATTGTGGCTAAATTTGCCTACAATCGCCAGCAGCTAAAGGGATGGTGTAAATCCTGCTAGGGTCCATGCTAGGGTTGTCGAAAATAGTTTTCTACTTTTAAATGTAAATGCTAACACGTTTTAACTTTTTTTGTGATACTCTAGTTATTTTGTAGTCCGTCGATGACTGGTTATTTAACTACTTGTATGTAGAGTATATGTAAAACATTTCTCGTCACTATATGGATGAAATATTGCCGAGGTGACGTTAAATTGTAACTCACTCACTCACTCTTCGACGTGGCGGAATGAAATTTCGTCAGCAATATGAATTAGTTGAGCATTATCATTTGGGGTTTGTTCGCTTTTGTGAGTCCGTTTTATACCATACCTGCCTTAAACCCCATTTGTTTTCTTTCAGACTTGTGCCATAAAAGCGGGACAAAAATACACCCCGAATGGAGCTGCTATAGTATGCATGTATGAGCGTTGGCCTTATCTGCATATCTATGAAAACAGTCAATTTGAAATCGTCCATATACATAATGTGAGGGTTTAGATTTTACAACGCGTTCGAGATCATTGCAAGTTTCCGGGTTAAAGTTTTAGTGAGATATCATGCTACAGTTTAGCATGGCTATCACACCAAGACACACTACACTAACCATCAAATGAGCAGTGCTTGTTTTATCACCCTAATGCCAGGCAAGATGACAACGGCCATCATAAACGTATTACGTATTTTGGTGTGACATGGCCACTGTCGGTATGGATTGATTCACAGCTCAGGAGCAGCATCAGTGGAATTTGGTAAACCACCCACACAGGAAAAGAGAGCTTTACATGTACTATTATCTTACCTCACACACAAATGTCGCTTTTGATTGGCTGAGAGCTTTTCTATTATTTTCGATGTACCCCGCTTACAAGCGAGTAACATTTCAATGTACCCCGCTGTCAATGGCAACTCATTTGGTACTTCCTGGTAGTAATTCTTTATCTCGAATAACATTGAATCACGTATGATGTACGGAAATTACCGATGTTTTGCGAATGCAAATTGATGGAAGGGAGATAACTCTAAATCTGTTTTTCTTGTCAGCAAAATCTAGCGATGGCTACAAAAAGATTTGTACCCGTGCTTCAAACAATTCAAAATTAACATTAAGGTGTTCGGTAAGATAAATACGTTGTTCACTGGTCCCTCGGGGCCCATGGGTTGATGTACCCTCGATGTTTGTTTATGTTCCCCTCGCCCTTCGGGCTCAGGGAACATAAACAAACATCGAGCAGTATGTACAGTTACCTTGAATAACTTGAGGTGTTCAATTCCACCCTCTTGACCAGTAAACAAGATTACATATCTGCAGGTAATACTGGCCACACAACGTGTCATAAACAGACACCCTCATATCCAGCAGTATGGTTTTAAGTGTACTTTGGAATACTGCTATTCCGCAAAGGGTGTTCTAGACACTTCCACACACAACTGTTGGCATAGAAGTATCCAAGCTTGAAAGGATAATTCCCGGGCAGTTATAAGTATCACATTGGTAATGTTGGAGATTACCATATCTGCAGGTAATACTGGCAATATCACAGGGTAAATCACAAAACAGGTGTTGCATAATCTATGTTTTCTCTGATGCTCAGATCCTACGTAATGCTAGTGTGCCCCAATGCAACGGGAGGTGCTCAGTCAGCACAGTGAGTCTTCGCCTGTATGCAGCTGCTCCTTCGCATACATGGGTGCAATCCTACACTTGTTCGCTATACGAGTCATCGCATACGGTAGATGTGTGATGTAGGTTTGATGCCGTCTTTACCATTATGTCAGTTTCTCCCTATTATTGTGAGGAGAAAGGTAGGTTTGGTCGGTGATGACCACCGCTTGTTTGAATCCGTCATAGAGCAAACCATTTGTAATATGTACACCGAAATCTCATCTATCTTGTCTGTTTAATGTATTCAGCAAATATTCGGTGTATCCCTCTTATCATAACACTCGCGCGCGCTCTCACACACACACACACACACACACCGGGCAGGATCCTTAATTCTCAATGCTATAAGTAAACGTCAATTAACACCTCCCTACGTCGGCGGACCTTACGTATGTACATGTGCATATGTCAGTGATCTTGCACAACGTGGCGTAATGTCCCCATCTATAAAACCTGACTGGCATGATCAGTCGGGGAGAAAAGTCGGGGAGACAAGCCCAGATCATCGACAGAAGCAGACAGATCATGCGCTACTCAGCAACTACGTCGACGATGAAGAATCTCAGTCCGACTTCTGCACGTGTGAAGTCACAGAGCGGGTCTCCACACCGGGAACATTGGCCAGTCGGTCCCGGTGTGCGATCTGTCAGGTGTTTACAATCAACCTGTACCATTTCAACCATTATTTCACCAACTATCATAATCATGGCTACTGTCGTCTTCAGTTCTACCACTGACCATTGGCTTCCGTCCGTCCGAGAGCCTTCCCATACGAGAGCCTCCACAAAGAATGCTCTTAGTCAAATCTAACGGGCATAAGTGCGAGTCATTCAGTTCTGGAATCTTATTACACGCACTTTAGCACACGAAAATGCTGTGGTTCAGACAACTTTGTTAAACCTGTCCCAACTTCTTCTTCGAGTGGCATTTTTAGAAGTTGGAGTGTCAGATAATGACAGACTTTATGGATGAACAATTTCTTTATTCAGGTGATGCGGCGTTTCGATATAGATTCTTGCATACCTGCTTGACAATACAATAATCTGTATCGAAACTCCGCATCAACTGAATAAAGAAGTTGTTCATCCATAAAGTTTGTCCTTACCTGTTCCAACGTCTACTGATATCAATATTTCCGACACAGTGAAACAAATGAAATTTAATCATAACACTAAGACATGTGGAGTTACAAAACGGTATTTCAGATCAATTCCTTCTTTGTAAAGCGCTTTCAAACAAACAGTATATAGCCACAGTGAAAACCATTACTTAAGAATATGACAATATGGTTCACTGTGTGTCTCTACCTTATAAGTTAAAAGGCATTCTCAGTAATCTCACATTGTTACAAATAGTGATAATTTTGTGACCACATTTCCTTTCCGTATAATAATCTAATTCTGCTCGCTGCATGGGTATTTCAGATGAAAAAATAAACTAGTGTTGCAATATTTCTAATTAGTACTGAAATAGTTCTTAAACTCTTCTTTGATCTCGGACAACTTTTCCGGGGATGTGTAGACATCAATAGCTGTCATGGCGAGAGCCTTTCCCATGTCCAATGTGTAGGGCTGGGCTTCAGGCGAAACTAGGAACAGACAAATAGTACATAAACATATGTTTTCAGCCCAGATAATCCAGTGTGCACTTTCTTGTACAGCGTCGTAATTGTCATGCACAATGTTCTGTATATCGACAGTGAGATCTTTAAAATACCCATATCTGTCATACGTTATTTCATATGAGCATAATTATGTGTGCATTAAAATTGGTGAACATGCTACCACACATTTACTTATAACAAGCGATAAGGGGTTGAACGTGGTCATGGAGAACATAATGGGTTCAAATCAAAGCGGGTTTATTCCTATATTGTTCCTTTATTCCTATGATTGGCTGTTATTATTTTTGTTTGACTTTGCAATTATACAGTCGATTGTGTTGGACTGTTGCATTCAATCATTTTATTCACTGTGATCGATTGTTGGGATATCGTTTGTCACGAATGTATATAACCAAAAGGCCTAGAAAACTGTCCTTTTGTTGTGTGTGAAAAAACACTGAATATTTAGATTATGATGACCAAAAGATCACTAAATTATTTATCCATTAATGTTAACACTATGAGTTTTTTAGTTTTATGCCTTTAGCAACATTCCAGTAATAACACGACGGGGGACACCAGAAATGGGCTTTACACACTATACCCACGTGGGAAATCGAACCCGGGTCTTCAGCGTGACAAGCGAACGCTTTAACTACAGGCTACCCCACGTAGGCATATCCCTTTTATGTCATGAGACTTACGCTTTCATGTGACATCCCTCACTTTCAATAAAGAAGCTGTGTGCACTGCGATAATCAATTTAAAGCATAGTACATTAGTTCTAAAATGTCGTATGTTGTAGTGACATCTTACCAGCAGCCGCTGTGAACTCCCTGGTATGGTTCAGACAGTCCTTAACACCGACGTAGTACATGGGGTGGATGCTGGGAACGACGTAGGTAACGTTTCCCATGTCTGTAGATCCCATGGCCAGACCTGCCAGCTTTTCCTGCGGCGTAAACTCAACGCCAATACTTTCAGCGTTAGCGACAAAGGCATTGGCCAGGGTCTTGTTGGTCACAACGTTGGAGTTGGCTCGTGGATCAAAATCACATTCAGCCTGAATGAAATCAAAATGGCTTGATGAATAATAGTATTGTTGAGATTATCTGTACATACTTTACTTACATGACACGTTTTTAATGACATTACTTACCTACGAGGGCGAAAATATTGGGTTCATATTTTTCATACGATGCCCTAGGGCAAAATATTACTTTGTCATGCTGACGTGACGTCATGAACAATCCAATCACGTCACGTTTCTTCTATGACGTTACGTTCTACATGCTGCGACGGGTAGCCGGTCTATGTTTGAAAGTAGATTTGGGTTTATTTGCCTCTATTTGACGACTTCGGTAATAAACAGAATATTATATTCGTGCCCATATCATACTATGTTTACGAGGCTCGTGCCTAAATGTCGGTATATCCCTCGCTCTCGCTCGGGAAATACTAACATTTAGGCCCTCGTGTTGTAAACATAGTATGTCATAGGCAACCATATAATATCCTCCATGAACTATCACGTCCACGTGATAGATATGACGTTCTGACAGTTCATTAAACCTATAATTAAACTAGTCGGTATTTAGATGGTACTGAATGTGCAGAACATCTGCCACGTACTACAAAAGAACCATATTGCCATTGCAAATTACATTGACTGGGGTCGTATTACCATTTTAGCAGATACGTTTGTATTGTGAAATACATAAATGAAATGATGGGAGACACAGATACAGCCATGACTGTGTTAGAATCCGTCTCGAAAATATCCATCTTGATGTGGACCAACTATTACATGTTTAACAATTATTAGCAATGTTGAGGAAATGTAATGACTGAGAGTTAAAATACATGCATATGTAATTCAAACACGTAGCCAGAGGTACACTAAAACAACACGGTAATAGATGTGATAGGATGTAAAATACAAACACGAAGAGGCCAGTGATACACTAACGATTTTAAACATGTAGCGCCTCCATGTATGTATACATATCCCCCTGATATTCCCTACCATTCACCCGGTGAAGGGGCAAGCATACACTCCGACATGTCATGTTGTTCACAATAAAGAAGTTGGCATCCATAAATCTTGCTTTTCTTATGCATTCCACTTCTGAATGTCCTTCAAAGATTTGCCAAAGGCTGTGTTAAAATCCTGCAGGATTATTACCAAACTTCTTTGACACTGTATTAACATCTTCGATAGACATCGGCCATACACCCTGTTAATATTTTTACAACACCGATTTGACAGTCTGTAAACATACTACCAGATACTACCATTCAACAACGTTGACATATTATAAGCTACTGGCTCTACATTTTGGTAACGACCTCCCACATACTGACCGTGCATCCTGTTGCTGTAGCAGCAGCCTCAATACACTTGGACACTTTCTCCTTCAGGACGTACACCTCTGCATCAGTGGGCGCCCTCAGGAGGTACTCCAGTTCCGTCAACTCCGGTATGATATTGGGCTTGGCTCCGCCGTTGTTGATGATTCCTTAACCAAGTATATACGTTTCAGTTGTTGTATGTTTCTAATAGACCAGAGCAAAGAATATTAAAAAGACATAACATACAGTTTTCATTGAGGGACTGGTCACCCATTATAGGTTGTGGGATGGGATTGCATCTGGGATCTATCTTGGGACTGTTTCATAACATTGTTTCTTACACACACACAAATATATGTAACACGAATTCCGTTTACTTCACCTCTATACGTTCCGAAATACTGTTCAAATTTATATCATATTTATTTTAAAAAGGCAGAACTGACTTAGTTTTATGCCACCCTATTCACTCCCAACCCAAAAATAATTGTGTTAACTTTTTTTGCGTACCCCCTCTGATTTTCACATTTTCTCAGATAACTAACAATCATCACGGCTTCCCATTTGTTCAGATAATGTACCCTTACCATGCACTCTCCAGTCAGGTTTCATCTGTTGTCTGAGACAGGAGATGTTCTGGTAACACAAGACGGCGGCGTCAAGGGCGTTGATGCCCTTCCAGGGAAACCCCGCAGCATGTGATGCCTTGCCATGGAACTTGATGTTGCATCTTTAGAAACAGTACTATTTACTATACAAGTTTGAGTAACACATCGAGGTGTTGCAGCTCATGGAATGGATAGGTCTGGAAGTGATGAGAGACAGGTCAGTAAAAATTTGAGCCACCAAATAAAATGCCAAATTTGTCACATGACATAAACCTCATGCTGATATATTGTATGTAATGGATGAAATATTGCCTAAAGAAGTCACTGATTGTATTCGCTGTCCAGTGAAAGACAGTAAACTATTAGAACCATCGAATGGTAAAATGTTGTTGTATATTTTACCTGATAATGGACAAGCAGAAAGGAAACGCTGTTGCAAATGGCGACGGGTGCGCCATCATTGCAATATCAACATCATCAAAGACTTTGGCGTTGATGAGATCATGTTTTCCACAACCGCCCTCTTCTGCAGGTGTTCCAAGAACAGTTAACTGAAAAAGGACAGATATGCATATGAACAGGTTATTTGATCAATGCAGCGCGCTATGGTGATAACCATTTAGATGAGCTAATTATATGCACAGTACCCACTAATATTTGTACCCGCTGTGGGTGTTGTCCACCAAATTTACACCAAAGACTGTCAAGGTTTCTAAATACAGACTCGAGAGTGAGAAAGTAAGGTTTTACGCTGCCTTTAGCAATATCACGACAGGGGACACCAGAAATGGGCTTCACATATTGTACCCAAGTTGGTAATCGAACCAGTGCCTTTAGCGTGACGAGCCAACGCTTTGACCACTAGGACACCGCCCACGGACTAGAAAATTAGACCAATTTTCATTTTACTGATTCGGTGATCCCGATTCTCTTTGTAGTTTGAACATGATGTTGTAACATAGCATAAGCATACAACAGGACTGGTCATAAACAAGGCAGTGGGGTATTTGCGGCTGCAGTGGGCTTGCACTTAAAATACGAAACATTAGAAGGGAAACCTAGTCACTACGCTCACGCTACAAGAATATCCACACACTGCCTCCCTGACGAAGTTAATTACGCTTTGTTCAGAGAGCTTAACGTCGGTCACTATGAACCAAAAGTCGTGTAAGTATGTTGCATGTCAGGCGGACTAGTACACACATACACACATGCACTTGAATGCACGTCGCTAAACATGCACATTCTTGAACGCGGTGTTGAACCACATTTCACCTGACCTATTTCGGTTCAAAGATACTGCAGTTGGTATGCATGATTATTGATATAACATTTTAGTCCTTACGGTACAGGTAGCATATTGACCTGTATCTGTCAAGTGTACCTCTGATGATTCAAGTCCGATAGCTGTCAGAACAGAACAGAACTTCTGGTATTTGTAAGCTATACGTCTGATAGAGTAAACCAACTCTGTTAGGAGAAAATGTGACATTTTTTGTTTCCATGTGTTTACCTTGTTAAATTAGGTTTTTAATTTCATTGTTTTTGTATGTTCAAATACATGAAGTCGCTTAAGAGAGAATGAATGCACGTTGTTATGCAGCGATCCAGAGGTAGCCTGTTTTCCTTCTTTATAACGACTGTGTAAAAACAACCAATACACTTTTGCTTATAGTTATGTATAGGTATGACGTCGCTCAACGAAAGCATTCAGTGTCAGGTTTCGTTATATGAACCTTGAGTGTTCCCCGTGCCTGGTGGTTGATGTTTTGTTACGCCGCACTCAGCAATATCCCAGCTACATGGCGGCGGTCTCTAAATAATCGAGTCATAACCAGACAATCCAGTGACTAACACCATGAGCATCGACCTACGCATTTGGCATACGATGACATGTGTCAACCAAGTCAGCGAGTCAGACCACCCGATCCCGTTAGTCGCCTCTTACGACAAGCATGGGTTATTGAAGATCAGTTCTAACCCGGATCTTCATGGGTACCCCGTGTCTGTAGTCTCCGTCTTCAGTCCTCTTATTTACAGGTCGCCGTGACATACGGTATAGCTCAATACAGCGTGAAACAACATTCAATTTATCTAACTTGCGTGGCGATAAACGGAACAAGACAAAATATTCTTACCTTCCCTCCCGCCCCTGTAGCTTGAAGCGCAGCTTTCACACCAAGACCCGCTGCTACGCCCAATTCAGCTATCAGATTGTGGCCACAGGCGTGTCCGATCTCCGGCAGGGCATCATATTCACACAGTATGGCCACGTGAGGACCTGTTCCATCTTTACCAAACACTGCCCTGAAGGCTGTATTCAGTTTGTACTTCCTCTCAACCTCAAATCCGTGCTTCTCTAGAAAATCTGTCAGTACATTGTGAGCATTTACCTCTTTAAAGTTTAGCTCAGGCTTTTCCCAAATGGCCTGACTGAGTTTGTTTAATTCATCTGCATGCTTGTCAATTTCCACGCAAGCTATCTTCTTCATTGGTTTTGCCGTCATCTTCTGTGTGTGGTGACGGTCATGAGACTCCTTCTAAAAGTGACACGCGGTTGTGCTGTCGTCTTATATGATACGGTGTACACCTATAAATAGTTCATGCTGCAGCAGGGTTTAAATCTGGGTTACATCTATGTATATGCTCCCATATCGGCCTATTATTCAACACACATGTCTCAGTGCATGCAATGTGTACACATCGAATCCTAAAAATCAAGGGGTCAAGGTGCCCGCTTGATGTGTACCTATATGGCTAGATCTGAATCGTTGGTCTTGACGAAATACCATGAATCCCATCTAGGAACGAGACAAATTTAAGCTGGAAAATATGTATCCTGTTAACAAGCAAACAGCTATACCTTTTTTCCGAGTCACTGAAAGTCACGTGGCACCGAACACGTTAATCGAAACTATATCGAAATGAAAGCTTTTTCCATCAATTTTCACTTGTTTTCTTTTAAGGCTTCTTTTTAATATGGTAGAATGAAACGTGTCGGCAGGATCTATCGTTGCAGCAATACCACTCGGGTGAGTGAGTGAGTGAGTTTAGGTTTACGCCGCACTCAGCCATATTCCACCCATATGGAGGCGGTCTGTAAATAATCGTGTCTGGACCAGACAATCCAGTGATCAACAGCATGAGCATCGATCTACGCAACTGGGATACGATGACATATGTCAACCAAGTCAGCCAGTCTGACCACCCGATACCGTTAGTCGCCTTTTACGTCATGCATCGATATCGTTTTCCTGCTGCCACAAGGGACCTAATACACAGCATATGACAGTGACCTTGGTCAGTGCACGGAAGCATTATCTCTTGTATCATCTGAAAGATTGTGTCATTAAGGCATTCCAGTGTATCTATGTAAGTCTGTCAACTTTGGTTATACATTTCAAAGTATTCGGTGTCCTGTGTACGTTTTTCTATTTACATTTATAACATATTTGTTTGAAAACGTAGAACCGTTTCATCCCTTTTATGCCAATCTCAGCGCCCACCCCACCCAAATAGTTGTAACATATCATTTCATGATGCCCCTTTAAACATCATGTCCGATATTAGATGTCCAGTCCTATGTGGTCAGTCAGTTCTTAACGTGCCTAACCTAACGCATAACATTGTGGGTTGTCGGGTGTGGTCGATTGGGATCAATTGGAGTGCGAATGAACCATAACTGCAGGTCGCCATTGTCCGAGTATAACTGTTAGGAGTGTCCCGTACCATACAACACTGCGGGCAGAGCGGGCATGACTTGACATTACTTCAAATAATGATATCACCAGGGGAATTGCGTCATGATCCGCATGTCAACAGTTAAACACGGAGGGTCGTGCGGTCTGATCTAACCTATTTAAATGATGACCTACTTTCTACAATACTCTTTTCTTCGTTTACATTCCAATGTTTAAGAGATGGTATCCCTCATTATGTCATCTTTGCAAATGTTCTTCCATCCATGCTACCTTCAGACGAATGGCAGACTTTTAACCCTGGTATGCGTGTCCCGCATGAACTGCACAAGCATTTCTCTCCTCTTGGTGTTCTGCTTCTATCTTCTGGATGTGTTGTAGAGACTCAGCTGTCTCCACTGTCGATGATAGTCACCAAACATCCTGACATACGTAACCACAAACGTGTCAACAATGATATAAAGGTATAAATATCCGCTGTGACAATAAATACAACATATAACATAAATATATTTTACAATGCCACTGATGATTTGTCTTCAGGCAGAATAAGTGTAATTTCGTTCGCAGACGCAGTGTCATACTTAATGAAACTGCAGTGTAGACTGGATGCGTACTATCAGGGATAATCTACAATTATATATGATTCATGATAGTTAGGGATAGGATGGAATGTCTAAATGTACTTTCAATTATTTCCTGTATTCACCCTGTTTAGGAAAAAACAACCAAAATTGTTGTTTCTGAGTCTAACGATTAAAAAGAAATTACGACCTTCATATTTAAAAAATGCCATCCCTCCATAATATGTTTTTGAACATGTTAGTGTGCAAGTGGTTTGTGTGTTTTTTAGTGTGCATTCCTCTCTGCATAAGGAGAAATCTACTGACGGGATTTTGTGATTTGTGACAATGTATAATTGTAACATTGAAACATTGACATGATATGTTTATGATAAATAAAGAGAAATCGACTGACTGACTGATTTTGTATTTATTTATTTCTATGTCCATGTGGTGTTGAGGTAACTGTAGTTGAAATGAGTTTGTTTTATATTTGAATGTATTATGAATAAAATATATGACATAATACATTCAAATATATAATAAGCTCATTTCAACTACAGTTAATATAGTTGAATAATCATAGTTTAATATGGACATATGGTAATCACTGAATACTAATAATTAAAACCAAATGGAGCCATACAGATTCTGATTTACTGCAACTTATGGAACATGGTTAATGTGATTAATAGAAAAGAAACTCAATGGGAAACATAATTGAACTAAGTAAATAAATAAAACCATCTGAAAGTAGAGGATAAGGGAAACCCAATGGAACCTCATAGGAATCTGCGTAACGGAAACTCACTGGAGCCATACAGGAATCTGGGTAACGGAAACGAACTGGAGCCCTACAGGAACCTGGGTCACGGAAACGCACTGGAACCATACAGGAATCTGGGTAACGGAAGCGCACTGGAGCCCTACAGGAATCTGGGTAACGGAAAAGCACTGGAGCCCTACAGGAAACTTGGTAACGGAAAAGCACTGGAGCCACACAGGAATCTGGGTAACGGAAACGCACTGGAGCCATTCCGGTTTCTGGGTAAGTTTGTAAGTTATTTTTCCTGTGTGTTTGACGAGGATGTGATACGCCCCATATCCGGGAAAAGGTTTGGAATCCACTAAGTTGCTTGATTGTCAAAACAGTGAAAGATTTGATCAGTGACGAGGACATTGCAATAAGATATGTTGAGTATCTTGAACAAACTTATTGTGCAAAAAGATCAGCGACTGTTCTGCCTCGTCATTCAAAACAGATAATTACTGACAAGGACAAGAAAGTAAATGCACTTGCTGTTACTCTTTCACGGGATCAATCCTACAGATGAAAAGTCGTTCCGACGTCGCCTAAAAAGTGATGTCCACAGATCTATCTTTTGCCTCAGTGAGAACTGAGACCTGCTCTGTGAAAGATTGGCAAAGAAAAAGACAGATACATCGTGTTCTTTTTATGACTCAGCATCAAAACCAATTCAACAACATCAGTGGCTCTGCTGTCAGTTGTGAAGAAACTTCTGAACAGAACTGCCTTGACAGTTATTGCGCCACCAGTGGGCGTATACTAGTAATAACCAAAGCAATTCATATAACAATTGGCGCATATCCAGTATCATGTTTGACTAATTTACAGACAGTCACGGACAGTCGTGCGCAGTCGTTGGTCTCCCAGCAAGCTCATAGGCGTCTTTTAACGTTAATTTGTATTTTCTGAGTACCTGCAATCATTGCAGTATAATGTGCCCAACAAACAATTACCATGCACGTGCAAATTGTTGAATAAACGTCTTTCCGGTAGTGTATAACTAGGTATCTATTTGATATTAATCTTTATTTAAAGGTCTATTCAACTTCTTTCAATGATAGGAATCTTTTCTGGTATCAACTACCCGAAGAGGAAGTTGTATTCAGGAAACCAGTTTTGGTAAATCAATTATTTAGATAATTAAGAAGTACGTGTGTTTACATGGAAACTACATGTCTTGTTCTGTTCTTGTACTGTGGTGACGCGTACTAGGAGGTGTGATACAGCGGACCCATAATTTTAAAAGTTTAAAAGTTTAAAAGTTCATAAATTGAAATCTAGAACAATAAGTAAGTTTATTATGCAGCATATTACACACTTTACGAAGGAACCATGAAAAATCACTGGAGCAAAATGTGCAAATAACACTGAACTATATCACGACACCACTGAGCAACGAAATTTTTACTTGGATTTGTTCTTTGATAAGATATTGTCATCCAAAGTATGGCATTAGAAGTGTAGTTTTAGTGGGTGAGCGAGTCAGTTGGTTTTAATGCCGCTTTGAACAGCATTACAATTATCTCACGGCTTGTCAGGTTGATGTGTCAGAAAGGCTTAAATTGATGCAGGTCCCAGATGTTTAACACTTGGGTGAAACCGGTTAATCTGAAATATAGAATAAATACATAATATATTGTTACATATATAGAGAATACTACACGAGGCCTCATTACATACGAATTATACGAAACGAGTGTCCTTCCTATGGTATCTGACCGAGCGAAAGCGAGGTCAGAAACCATAGGAAGGTCACGAGTTTCGTATAATTCGTATGTAATGAGACCTCGTGTGGTATTTTATTTATTACCCACGTCTTACATGCAATGAATTGACAACATAGCGTATTTTTATTATTGTTGAGGTTTGAAACCGAAACCGGTTTCATAAAGAGGTTGCGGAAGAATTTTGTTCTGAAGTACACTTTTTTGCATGACGTCACACTGTATTGACGTCACTACGCCATTACCGTCTGTCCCCTTGGTAACCGACGTCACGATGCATGTCAGTTGTCATCGCCTCTCGTACAGCCTCCTACAGTAAACTACTCCGTAGCACCCCGTTTCTTGGTTAGCAACTGCTTCACTCGGCTAACATCACTGGTGGAAACATTGCGTTTATGTTTTTCGACGGATATAACGTCTCAGTTCGACTCACAATTAAACAGCGACACGGCAACGTTCGCAATGTTTATATTCCGACAATGCATCTAAGTTGTAGAATGAATGAATTCACGTGCTTGTTATGAATGAACAAGTAGTTCCGTCACAACGTGACCTAACTGAGAGGTCATCGGTTATCTAATCAAATCGTTAGAATCTCAGGTCAAGTCGTTACGACACAGGTCAACGCGTTACGACACTCGTGTGACGTACGAGATTAGTATGCAACTACCCATACGTTGACCACGTGGGTAATAAAGGCTTACATTGCTTCAGGATATGTGCAGTATTGAAAAAGATCGCTGTTTAAGTATTCAGAACTTAATTTATGGGTAAATTTTGAGTATCAACAATTGGCCTTGGTCTAATCAAATGACAGATACCGATAAATGAGTGTTGTTTTAACGCTTTATTAGTATGTCTCTATTTCATTTGTTTGCATCGTACAACCACTTCTGGAATGTTTATATGGACAAGCATTACACATGGTAGCAATTGAAACTGCATACAGAATTGTATGTTACGTGGCTAGCTGCTATGAGGTGGAATTAAAGCAGAACATAAGAAGTTCGCCGATAGGCGCGTGTGACATGGGATTTACTTTCAACACATTGTGAAAGTTGGTACCGAAAAAGACTTTTCAAATTTCGTTGAAGGTGTGTTAGAATTTGACAACTTGTGTAAAATACCAATAAAATACCTTAGTTAAGGCATGTGATATTCCTCTGTTTTACCCCCCTTTGTTAATGCCTTCATCAAAATTACAGCTTCTCCCACACATTGTCAAATATTCATAATGAGAAGATATTTGTTCACACAGAATCGTGTGACTTGAAACATCAGAAACTGGCTTAACACATATACCGATGTGGGGTATTTAGCCTGGATCTTCCACGTGACTAGCGTTAGGTTCAACAATGCGTCATGGCCAGATCTCCCTTTCGGTGAGAGGGAGCGAGAAAGGTGAACAGATTGGTGCTCTTCTGTTTCTCGTAGGTTTGTGAGTGGGGAGATGGTGATGGTTTGTGTTGATGTATTTCTGAGATAGCTGGTAGGATATAATTCACTTATTGACCAATTATGTCTTCATCAGACGCGTTGGCATTTGTATATCACAATATCAGACGTTTATTACAAGATGTTCTTTCATGTCAAGGGGGAGAACCTTTGCGCTCACAGGATTTAGCTTCAAACGCTTGTCTTCCTTTCAAACACATTGTGAAATATTCATGCCCTGTGCTGTGTTGGATTGGATTTAGGATATATGTCTGTGCATGTAACTGGACTGTCGGCAAACTTTAGGTCTCTCTCGACCAATGGTGCAAGACGCAGTTTCTAATAAAGTCATGGGATTCAATGGCAGTGTCCATTTAGCGTGGTGGAATACCTGTGTCAATACCTGTGTTGTCACCTAAATGGGTGAAGTTGTCCGCAGACAGCAAAACAGATTACAAACAACTATTTGCATACTTAACTATAATTTTGTGAAAAGGGGGAAAAGTCTGATTACACTCTCTTGAAGGCGAAAGTGAGAATTTGTTGCTACGCCGCTTTGGGCAATTATTATGACAGGCGATATCAGAAATGAGCTTCACAAATGCACCCATGTGGGGGAATTTAGCCACTTTCGAGATGGTTAGTATGGTGCCAATTTCTTTAATGAGCTGTTGGCTCTTACTCAGGAGCGAGAATTTACGGCCGTTAGCACTGTATGAAATAAGGCCCGTCCGACCGCCCGAGACGGGTTACATTTCAGACGGACGGTCTAGATTTACATCTAGTCAGCCCGATGGTCTGGTAAAAATTTAGATGTGATATATATCTGAGTCATATATTGGTGTCTGGTCTGGGTAAAACCATTTTGGACTGGTAACATTTTGAAGATACCAGTTCTGATGTCTGGCTGGGGTTTTGGCTTATTTCATACACTGGCCGTTAGCATTTTCATGATATAAATGTTCTTTGTATTCTTAGGGGAGAACCTTTCAGGTATGGTTATAGATTTCACCGCATCTCTTATCATGTGGATGTATACCTCAGGATATATAAACTCTTAAACTCAATGTACATTCACGTATGCTTTTGTGTACTTGTTGTACGCTAATACTGCAGCTGTATTGTTATTTGTATCTCTTCATTGTTATCCGGATCTGTTTATATTCCAGCAAAAGTACTGAAAAATGTAAAGCCAGCTGTGGCTTCAAACTACAAAGCCATCACACGAGAAACGTTTGCAACAGTGCGAAATCTAATTACATGTACATGTACTGTTAATCAACCGACTGTTTAGGAAAGCTGCATTTCACACATTCCAATGGTTCTAAATAGCTGGTGGCTGGAAGTCCATTATTCGTGATCTGTCATAAGTAATAAGCAATATAATTACATCAAAGGTTCGTAAATGAATAAACTCTCATTCAATGAATGCTCGCATCCGTCAGGATTGAAAGTTGGGATGATTCGGAAATATATTTTTCTTCTCTCATCAAAGAAAATGGATGCGGATTCAGCGGGCGAAAAATACATTTTGGCAAATGTAAACGATAAGCACTTTAGGTACAGGAGGGTGCTGAAACCAAGGAGCACTCATACTTGGAATGCTATATCCGTCAGCAATGTCAGATTAACTAAGGTCAAATGAAAGTTTCAACTTAGTTTGTAGTATATATTGTACATAGATTGACAATGCAATGGAAACGAACCTAGGCAGAATTCATATCTCTTCTGAAGTCCTCCTTCATCTCTGCCAGGGTATTTGGTGATGTGTAGACGTCAACAGCCGTCATGGCGAGGGCCTTCCCAATGTCCAGCGTGTATGGTTGTGCTTCAGGCGAACCTGGAAACAATCAAGTCGCCCAACTAGAAAACTGGTGTGTTTTGATGTGAAAGAAGTCACTCGTGTCGATTTTAGTCAGACATTTACAAACATTTGATCATCAAAGATTGGACAACTGTCAGTCGTGGAATTTGCAAGTATTGTGTTTCAGATCACTAGCATAACCTTTGTCAGACACTTCCTTCTTTCAGTCTAAGAAGAGTTGTGCATATGGCTACTCCGAGTCTGATAAATAATGATTATGTCGTTTGCGTTTAAACCCACATTCCGATGTCATGGATGTTTAGTCTCTGGCTGATAGTGCTGACTCATACATGCTGACAAATCGTTCAAGAAAATCAGTCGGCAGCTTGGGAACTCAGCGTGTTGGAACCTTTGTTATTCCCAGTTTATGCTGAGAATGTTCTCTGGTCTCTGCTGATACAGGGGCGGTGGGGTAGCCTAGTGGTTAAAGCGTTCGCTCGTCACGCCGCAGACCCGGGTTCGATTCCCCACGTGGGCAAAATGTGTGAAGCCCATTTCTGGTGTCCCCCGCAGTGATATTGCTGGAATATTGCTTAAAGCGTCGTAAAACTAAACTCAGTCAGTCAGTCAGTATAGTTGCTTGACAACGGTACAAAAATCTGTATCGAAACGTCGCACTCACGAAATATAGAAGCTGTTATCCATTAAAAATTGTTCTGTATTGTACGTCTCAACTTCTAAAATGCCACTCAAACAAGGTGTGTATCTTACTTTACTGCGGACAGGAAGACAGGAAATGCGGTTACACATGGCGCTGGATGCGCCATCATCGCAGCATCGACATCCTTGAAGACGTTAGCGTTGATGAGATCAATTTTACCACCACCCTTCTCTTCCGCTTGAGTACTCAGTACAGTTAACTTAAATAGAACATTTTGAAATAAATATTCGTCGAAACAAACGCATTCCACTTAAACTATCCGCTTTTAATATTGGTTCAGTTTTCAGACAAGCAATCCAAAAGACATATTGCACTTGCTCTTTCCCTCTTTGGCCCCCGGTATTAACGGGTTGAAAAAAGGCCGGGTTTGGTCGAAATAAGTAAACTGTGTGTGAGTGGAGTACCAATGGTAAACCACACCCATAAAATCTCCCAAACCACGGCATGTACACACATTCACGTGTAGATGAAAGTGTATTTGTGTTCGTCTCCAGCTGCGTTCATTCTGGTCGTTCTCAAAAATGGTTCCGTGGTCCATCCGTCTTCAGTAACATGGAACATTTACAATATATTGTGTGTCATGTCAAACAGGTGTTATTTGTCAGTCATACCATACTTAGTAGTTACAAGCATGAGTTTACCACCCACATTTGTTAACTTCGAATACAGGTACGGTCAACAATTTGAACATTTAAGACCAAATCAAGATCTGCTCAGCACATTTATTAAAAGAATAACATCAAGTCAAGCTGATTTGAAGCTGATGTTTTTAGACTAAACTTCAATAATGAGCAGTGTTCGTCTGATCAGTTTAGCATGAACTAATACCTTTCTTCAATCATCGGATTATATTTTCGGACGTCATCGATTCCGGGCGGCAGTGTTTACTCTTGCTATAACGAGGCGGGATGTCAGCATTGTAAATACTCAGATGATGAGAAGTATCAACGTTGTCTTTAATAAACTATTAACGTGTTTTACAACCCCTAACACGATGATACTGGTAAAAATTGCTTCTTCGCGAACAACAAAAAAATATTAGATTCACCTAGACTTTTTGACAGTAGGTGTCACTAAGCAACAAAAGTGTGAAACTGCAACATGCAACGTGATTGGTTCGCTAAAAGAAATAAACTAATCGCAATCAGTTTTACAAAGCGCTTCAGTTTTGCTCATTACACGCCTTTGTACGCTTCGCATTGCCATTCGCAACAGAGGCTGCAGGTGATTTGTTGAGTTCCGAGCGCTTACAATAGCACTCGCTTCATCATGGGATGATAGTTCTATATGTTTAAGAAATACATAATAAGTTTAGAGTTTTGCATGAGTTGCTACGCGGAAACAAGCTCGTAATGCGTTTCAGATTTATGTTTAGGAATGCACTAACACGACACGTCCATACTACTACAGTGCATCATTTGAAAATTTCGTGCGTGGATGGTGCAAAGCCCGGTCAAGAAGCAACACTGGTCTCCACGCAAATACAATAAGATTGAACGACACTTCATCTCACAATTTTGACAAATGATATAACACTGACCTTTCCTCCCGTCCCCGTTGCCTGTAGCGCCGCCTTCACACCAAGACCCGCTGCTACGCCCAATTCAGCTATCAGGTTGTGGCCACAGGCGTGTCCGATCTCCGGCAGGGCATCATATTCACACAGTATGGTCACGTGAGGACCTGTTCCATCTTTACCAAACACTGCCCTGAAGGCTGTATCAAGCTTGTACTTCCTCTCAACCTCAAATCCATGCTTCTCAAGAAAATCTGTCAGTACTTGATGAGCACTTACCTCCTCATAATATAGTTCAGGAGTTTTCCATATAGCCTGACTGATTTCGTTAAGGTCAGCAGCATATCTGTCTATTTCCTCACATGCCGTTTCTTTCATAGCTGCCATCCTGCGTGAAAAAGTGTCGTGGGGATATTGATCAGTAAACGGTAAGCTTGCACATCATACCATTTTAATCAAGTTCACTGCAATGTCACACAGGTGTGAGTATGAATACAGAACAACGCGATTTCATTGGACCCCGTGAGTACGCACATCAGTAGATACGAGCGGACGATAATGTCATTGTTCGTGAAAAGGCTGTCATGCACATATCGTTAAAGTTACATGTAATATAACTATAATAAAATTTATAATATTCAAGTTAGACATTTTGGGGTAATTATGTTTTTTATTCTCAATTCATTTGTACACATACGTTAAGATCTTCAAACGTCTTCATTGACAGTTTCCGAACAGATGCACGTGTTAAATGTTCAAGTGAATTGTATGAGCCGGCAAGTTCTTGAAAGCATGAAGTGCACATGAAAAGCCAAACAAACATTTTGATGGTACCTTACTGAGCACAGTGACTCAGGACATGCCCTCCGCATACAGTACAGTTATTATTTGACACGATTTTATCGGGCCATATTCACCAAAATTATGCCTGCACGTTCAGAAGGTAACATGAGTCACTAGCATGAAACCCGTGAAGATCCGGGTTAGAAATGGTCTTCATCAACCCATGCACGCTGACTTGGGGGGGGACACATGTCATTGTATCCCAACTGCGTAGATCGATGCTGATGTTGTTGACCACTGAATTGTCTGGTCCAGACTCGATTATTTACAGACCGCCGCCATACAGCTGGAATATTGCTGAGTTATTACACACGGCATATAACAGCGACCTTGGTCAGTGCACGTAAGCATTATCGCTTGTGTCATCTGAAAGGCTGTGTCATTAAGGCATTCCAGTGTGTCAGGCATTTCAAAGTATTTGGTGTCCTTAAACATCATGAATTGCCCAATGGCAAGATATGTAGGGTTTTTTATTTACTACGCCCTCGAGAACGTTCACATTTATAACATTTATGTCTGCAAAAGTAGAACCTTTTCATCCCTTTTATGCCAATCTCATCCGCCCGCCCCACCAAAATAGTTGTAACATATCATTTCATGATGCCCCTTTAAACCTCCATGTCAAAAAATGTCCGAAATGAAACATCCAGTTCAACATGGTCAGTCAGTACTTAATGTACAGCGTGATGACAAAAGTATTCGCGACTTTTCGATATGGCGGAAGTAAACACAAGACCATATGAAAACTTTAAACAGCGATATTTAAAAAAACTTATGTCATACCTCAGTACTTGGTCAAGTTCCCCTTGGAGCGTATGCAGGCCATAATCCGTCGTGGAATTGATTCATATAAGTTTCTAACATAGTGTAGAGTGATATTTGTCCATACATCGTGGGTGGCGTCATACAGTGCGTCAGTGGTCAGGACAGTTTGTGATCGTCGCTGTAGTGTTCTTTTGATGTGTAGCCATACATTTTCAATAATATTGAGACCGGGAGACTGTGCAGGCCAAGTCATGCAATTTACAGCATTGTCACGTTTGTATTCCTGAATAATTCGTGCCCGATGCACTGGAGCATTGTCATCTTGAAACCGATATGGTTTGTTGTTGAAGTGCCGAGCTATAACGGGCCAGAGGTTGTCTTCAAGTATTTCACGATACTTGACAGCATTAATATTACCATCAACACGACACAAGGTGCCAACACCGTACCAAGTTAAAGAACCCCAGATCACAACTGATAACCTGGCCTGTTTCGAGTGAATCATGCATTCGGGACGATAGGCTTCATGCGCACTTCTCCAAACGAAAACTCTTCCATTCTGACCAATAACTACCTGCGATTCATCACTGAATATCACCTGTTTCCACTGATATTGTACTGTCCAAATTCCCCATTCCAAACACCAGTGAAGTCGTTTCCTTCTGTTCACTTCCTTCACAACAAAGCGCTTTCTAATAACCCGACGAAAAACACCATTCCGATGCAAAACTCTTTGAATTGTTCTACTGTTACTTGTTGATGTTGACCAACATTATAATCATGGGTAATGTCTCTTAGAATGTTAAATCTATTCTTGCGCACACTCCTCAACAAAACATGTTCACTACGAATACTCACTATTTTCGGCCTACCACTTCGTCGGCTGTTTTCAACATTATCACGATTCAAATATTTTTTTCCAAACATACCGAATTGTTGATTCAGGTACACCTAATAATTTCACAATGTCAGAAGTGTTCTTTCCATTCCGTTTCAAATCCACAATTAGTTCTTTCGTACTGATTTTGAGTTCCTTTGATTTTCGGCCAATTGTTTACTGCAGACGATTTCTGCATTCCAAGCAGACGACATATGACGTCATTGCACATGCGCACAAATCGTATATCAAGCTCACAAGCGACGTATCAAGCATGAAAATCTGTTCAGTATTTGCGAAGCAAGAGACAAAATACGAGACGTTTCAATCAAAGCCGAACGGCCATATTTGCCAAATCGCGAATACTTTTGTCACGACGCTGGTAACGCATAACATTGTGGGTTGTCTTGAGTGCTCGATTGAGATTAATTGGAGTGTGAATTAACCTTTACATCGGGTCGCCATTGTCTGAGTTTCGGGAGATAACCACCTTTGGGAGTGACCCGTACAATACAATACTGCGGGCTGAGCTGTCATGACTTGACATTCCTTTCAAATAATGATATCACTTATTCACCAGGGAATTACGTCATGATCAGCATGTCAACAGTTAAACACGGACGGTCGAGTGGTCTGAACAAACCTATTTAAACAATGACCTACTTTCTGCAACACTCTTTTCTTTCTTTACATTCCAAATTTAAAAGCGATATGTTTAAGCGAAGGTATGTTTCATTATGTCATTGTTGCAAATGTTCTTCCATCCATGCTACCTTCAGACGAGCATAAAAATATAGACTTTAAACGCTGGCATGCATGAACCGCACAAGCATTTCTCTCCTCTGGGTGTTTTGCGTCTATCTTCTGGGTGTGTTTGACGAAGACGTGATGCGCCCAATATTCGGAAAAGGTTTGGAATTGACTTAGTTGCTTGATTGTGAAAAACAGCAAATCTTCGGTCAGTGACGAGGACATTGCAAATACCTATGTTGAGTACACTGAACAAACTTACCATGCAAAGATCAGCGAGTGTTCTGCCTCTTAATTCTAAACCTATAGTTACAGACAAGGACAAGGAAGTGAATGCACTTGGATGGTCGTGTCATCGAAACCTGCTTTGCTGTTACTCTTGTATATCCTACTGGGACAGAAGAAAAAAATCACGGGATTAATCCTACAGATGAAAAGCCGTTTGCCTAAAAAGTTATATTCACAGATCTATGTTTTGTCTGCTTTGACCTGCTCTGTGAGTGATTGACAAAGAAAATGGCAGATTATCATGTTCTTTTTATGACTCAGGATCAAAACCACTTCAGTGGCCCTGCTGTCTCTTGTGAAGAACTGTCTGAACAGTACGGCCTTGATTGTCATGACGCCAGACAGTCAGCAAGCCGTGGTAATCCATAGACGTCCTTTAAGGTCAATAGACGTCCTTTAAGGTTAAAATGTGTTTTGTGAGTAACTGAAAGCTTAGGCATCTTTTAAGGTTAAAATGTATTTTGTGAGTACCTGAAAGCTTTCGAATGATTGCGTTTAAAACCTAATGTGATAGTATGCGCCCAACAAAGAATTACCATTACTTTTCAGCAGGTAGATAACGTGACAGCTCTGTGCACATAAATGTAATTACTCAACATCTGCGGTGGGCTTACTAAGAAAACCATTTGTTATCAGCAAATGTGTTCAACATTGTGATATGGAGGCCATATTGACCATACTGACAATGGAATGTATCTGTGCTCACCTATATTATCAAAATATTTCGATGGCAACAAAGGTTTAAAAGTTCATAAATTGAAATGGAGCACAATACGAAATTATGCAGCACGTGACACATTTTGCGAAGAAATCATGAAGAATCACTGACAAAGTACGAGCCAAATTTGTGCAAATCACGCTGCACCATCTCACGACACCATCGGACAACAAAATTTGTACTTGTATTTGTTTTTTACTAAGATATCACATCCAAAGTATAACATTAAAAGCTTGTAGTTTTAGAGGGTGTTGAGTCAGATGGATTTAATGCCGCTTTAAACAACATTCCAGTTAATTCACGTCTTGTCAGCTTGATGAGGCAGATGTTTAACACCCGGTTAATCTGAAATATAGAATACAACTCACAATATAGAGTTACATGTACGCTTAAATTGCATCAGGTTATGCAGTATTGAAGAACGGATCGTTTGGGGTTTTTAAAAATTTTTGCACATGTTTTGTAACATACGGCAAGGAGCACCTTTCTAAATATATATACTTTCCTCCTCCCATTGTTGCTTCTTGGTGGCATTTATATTTAATATTTAAAAATATTACATGTTTTTAAATTAAATTATGTATTAGGCAATCGTGAGACAATCAAAAGCAGTTTTGTTGTGTATAAGGTAACCGTTTTAACATGAGAGGATGAACAATTGTACATAACCTCGCCTGAATAGCTACAGTTGAACTGAAAGAATAGTTATGAGGTTATGAGGTTGTACAGGGTCAAAAAAGGGACATTTTATGTTGGACATAGGAGCTGTCCCATAGAAATGTCCTAGTGTTATTTGGGATGTACTTTCAACACATTGTTAGTGTTGTATCAAAAGGAGTTTTTAACTTTCGTTGGAGGTGTGTCTGCATTTTAGAGCTTGTGTAAAATACCAGTCAAATACCTTATGTACGTCAAGTTATATTTGTCTGTTTTACCACCCTCTTTTAATGCCTATATCACAATTACAGCTTCTTCTCCCACACATTCATTATGGAGAAGATATTTGTTCACACAGAAACTTGCGTGACATGAAACATCAGAAACTGTCTTAACATATGTAGGGAATTTAGCCAGTATCTCCGGCGTGACAAGCGTACGATTTAACCATTCGACGTGGCCAGTTCTCCTTCGCAGAGAAAGAGCGTG